GACTACGCTTTGATAACAAGAAATTTCATACTTATCAACTCGATGGTTAAAAACACAGAAAAAGATGTATATCGAGAGAAAAGATAGTAATCTATAATTTAGGATGAAAATACTAATGTTATTCTACATCTTACCAACAACCCCTAAATTTAACTAGGAATTTCTTGCACTATCATGTTACTAGAATTCTTTGTCCATATTAACAATCCCAATAATCCATATTAGTAATCCTAACCATCAATGAATTTATGCTTATGTAATTTTCATCTAACTATGGCTAAAACTTACTTCCATTTCATCATTTTGCTTCTTTTTCTTCATGGCATAGTCAGACCACTTTTCACATAACAAACAGAGAACTTAATAGACAAAACACATTCACATTGTGAATATCGAATCCACAATCATAAAATCACATCACCCGAACTTTTCTATACCAAAATATCAGGCTTTTAGAATGGGGTGCAAAAGTTCAAAAGGCAGAAAGAAGCAGAAGAAATTAGCATGGAGAAAAAGTCGATAAAATATGGTCCTTCTCATTTCCATAACACACACGCTTATCAGACTGGAGCAAACATTTTCTCATATTCTGAAAGGACATTTAGAAAAATGGAAAAAGGGAAAAAAATCTTCAAAAAAGAATGAAAAAAAAAAAAAAAAAACTTTAACTTCTGTTACAGTAAAAATCATGATGTTTCTTTTATGTTACAGCTATATAATTATCTCATGTATAAGCAATAAATCATTAATATTATCATAATTGTAATATTTTTGATGATTAATATACACTCATCAACAATATGTAAAATAACATGTATCTTGAAAGTTAAGGTACAAAATCCCCATAAATAATATGTAATTCTTTAGACCAGATTTCAAGAGAGGAAAATAGAAGACTGATTTAGAATAACTTTACAAGTAAACATGGCATGCAACAAAATGAGCAAATATGATTTTGCATAACTTCTCCATTAATGTGGGAGAATCACTCATCTTGCAATACCAAGCATATTGGTTAGTTTTACTTGGTAAGAGGATTTAGTCCGTCTCCATGCCGAGGAGGAAGCAGTGTTTACAGAAGTGAAGAAGACCACATTAACACCAAGAAGACAAGAATTTTGCCAGAGAAGAGCTATTCATAGGTGCAAACAACAAAGAAATGTGAAAGTATAACAAATCATATACAAATTCTGTTGACAAAAATCATGTTCAAACAAAACTACAAGCCTTTTTCCACCAAGGGAAGGCATCAAATCAAAGAAGAAGAAAGGCGGTAAGAGAAAGAAAAACTCATATGGATAACTCTTGGAGTAACAGAAAAATAAAGACTCAGTCTAATGAAGAGGTGAATTAATAAATCAGGCAATTCAATAACAATTACATGAAAATGAGATTCACGTATGTATACCATAGACACTACAAGAAAAATTACATATACCTTGACGACAAGTAATGAGAAAGGAGAAACAAGAAAAAGAAAATAAATGGATACAACACCAAATTTCAAATTTGTTATACACCCATCAATTAATGAGATGAATTTCAGAGGATGAATGATGAATAATGGACATATTAATTAAATTTTAACTAGTACTAACTCAAACGAACTGTAGTACTACCTAAAAACATCATAAACATGACATTAATGTGTATGTACTATCTTGATTTGTAAAACAACAAAAAGCATTTGTTTTCTTTCCTAATTACACAGAAGTACATATGTGTGTATGCTTGTGTGTGTAAGTAATGACTATATACCATAAGTAGCAGAGCAGTTAAAGAAAGCAAAAAATGATAATCTTACAATTTTCAATTAATCACAACGAGCTGATTTTCAAGAAATCCTACTGAGAACCAACTATACTGTAACTATAACAAACAAGAAGAGAAAAATTATTCCGTTAATAGATAAGGTTGATTAACAGCTATACGTAAACTACAAATCATCATCTAAGTTCTTACCATGCTTGTCCTTTTCCTTCATCTTCTTCTCCATCTCTCCTGCTTTATCCTTCACTTTCCCGAAGAACTCTGTGAGTCATCCCAACACCGTGCCCAAATTACCAGCAGGAAAGATGACAGTAGCAGGCCAGCCCAGAGCAGGAGTGGGAGAAAGGGAAGAGACGCACACAAGCATACACTTTAGACAGTGACATTAAACCAGACAAGTAGGATTATTGAATGTTAGTAGAGCGACATAAGTGTAAGAACACTGAAACAAAGGCGAATGGCACAGTATGTGACAGGACTTGGAAGCACCAGAGAAACAGGAAATGTTATTCTACCATTCACAACCAATGCTTTTGTAAAATTGTAAAATCAGTATCAAAATATGTTCAGTGCACACAGAGTATGTGTGTGTATGTACTTATATATGTATATACATATGTATGTGTGTGTATATTATATATATATATATATATATATATATATATATATATATATATATAATATATATATATATATATATATACTATATCTATATATATGTTATATATGT